ACACGCGGTTGGATGAACACTTTGCACTTTAGTTCTAGTTTCCTTAATCTAATTTAAATAGTACATTATTACTACTTTGAAGTGAAAGAAAAATTTAATATTTTTTATTACAGATAACTTATTATAATAGAAATGTAAAAATATTACGTACTCGGAAGAATATTATGTACGGAAACTGAATATAGTTAAACTCGTATTATTGAATGCTTAACCGACTGACGAGCACGGGTTTCAAGCTACTCGCGTTGGTATCGATATGTTTCAATAAAATAGTTATGAATAGATTATTTGTAAGTGTAACAACGAGAAATTTTAACCTGATGAAGTCAAATTATTATTTGAACATTTCAAATAGTAGTACAAAAAATGGCAGAGCAACCATGTGACGTACTGGTCGTCAATGGGTCAATTCACTACAGTAAAGCATCGATGAGTGTACGTAGACTTCTTGGTACTGAGTGTTCAGCTGTCATCAGAAAAGGGTCCCCCGTGGAACCAGCCAAGCGCCCAGTGGTGGGGATGACATCTGAACATTCATCGATGATATACTGTATTTCCTTTTGATATATCGCCATCCTTTTGCTTGTTCACGATGAAAATGACTATTTCAGGATAACATTGAACACTGTTAAATTACTATAAATATTTTACCCCCAAAAATAATGATTACTATGTGAAAGACAATATTATCTAACATTCAACATTAAGAGGAAACTGTTCAACCTCCAATTTCTCCATCTTCTGCTCCCATTCGACTTTCTTTTTCTCTCTCACTAAAGACGTCCTCCACTTTTAAAATTACCCAGTACATTCCACAATCCGAAAACTCGGCAACAATCGACGGGTCCCATCGAGCGGAAACCGCAGCGCAATAATTCGAACGTGGAATTTTCGCCGATTTCGCTACGCTGCGTCGCGGTTGTGCAATCGCGAAGAAACAAGCATGGGGCCCATCTTGGTGCCCGTGACAAACGGACCGTGGCGAGTTCGTGCGTTGAAAAGAAGGGAAAAGGACAAAGCCAGTTTCCGGTGTCGAAACCGGCCGCGAGACGATTTATGCAACGCACGACACGCGCCTGTCCCGCCCCGCGCCGATTTTCGCGCCGATTCGTTCGATCCGAAATTATGTTACTGCTCGATGATCGCAGGCGAAAGCGGTGAAACGCACAATCGTGCGCATTGATCGCGTGAAAACCGTATCGTCGAAAACAAACAATTGAATGCGAAAGTATCGCTCATAAGGAAGTCACAACAAGTGGATTGCGAATTTTAGGGAATCTTAAAAATATAACCAAAGGAACATTTTTGATTAACCCTTTACTAGAAACCACTTGTCTTATAGATGAATCTGAATTTCTAAGTCATAATAAGTGGATTGCGAATTTTATGGAATCTTAAAAATGTGGCAAAAGGAATGCGTTTGATGAACCCTTAACTAGAGACCACTCGTCTCATGAGCGAATTTAAATTTTTATTTCACCATCAAAGTGTGGTGGAGAATTTGTGCAATAAGTGACAACACTATTTCCAAAACGGTAACGAATAAATAAGACTAAGTTGGTTATTGAAAATATTACAAAATAGTCGTTGTCGGATAATTTGTCCCTGAGATGTGTAAATGACATCTTCATGACCCACAGATCGAACTTTCAAACGAATTCATAGCTCGAATGATCCAAGAAGAGCCATTTGCTACCAGGGCAATTTTTCGACCGAATTTTTCCCGATTCGCGTCAACCGCGAGTACCAGCTGAAAACACGAAAGATACAAAAAAAAAAAAGAATTGTACGAGGCCAGTCCCCAAAAACCAGCCTTCAACCACTGATCATTCCCGGTCTCCGCGCGACATGGGTCCGGCAGACATTCGACACGGACAACTTTACGACTGAACTTGAGGTCCCCTCCCCGTCCAGCCTTCTTTCCCTTTTGCAGAATTCCGTAACACGAAGGTTACCCGCGATCTCTTCTACATACGCTCCCGTTTTTTCTTGTTTTTTTTTTCTGAAGTGAAGGTACAACCTGGACCACGTAATCCACGCGTCACACTGTGTCATTAGAACGAAACAAGCGAAGCTCGCCACGGATCGAGGCACTAATCGTGGGCAGCCTCGTAACACTAAACGGTTGCTTCCCAGGGTGGATTAATAAAATCACTTTATCCCGATCGTGGTGATGAATCATCGGTCAACGGCGAAAATAACAATCGTCCTAACAGGAACAAGGTGAACCAGAAGAAATCGACGATCAGAATCGGATCAGGATCGTGCCGTTGCGGAATGCTGACGTCCCTCCGACAGAAGGGGTTAGCTCTTGTCTACGACTCTGAAACCCTTTTCTCCCTTCCCTCTATTTTGTTCTTTTAGACCGGCTGGATTCGAGTGGCTGCTCGTTCGCCCGTAATAAGCCGCGGGACCAGCAGTGTCCAGCATCCTGGCACGTTATTCAAAATGTCAGATTGCAAAATTTGAAATTCACTGCGTTCACCTCAAGAAAGATTAATTATAGACACGACAAAGACCTTTATGAAATGGATTGACTGTCGATCGTCCGTACCAGGCTGGGACAGCTACGAGGTTCAAGGTCACACAGAAAAAAAGCTGTTTTTCCGTTCACGGTGCACGGAATTCGAAAATGAAGCGTCGTCATAATACGACGGGCGTGTAACCAACGATCCTTCCCGGTATCGATTATTCGTCTTGTTTCTGGACCCGGTGAGCGGACGGGACTGAACCTGTCACCGATCATTCGGAAGAGGATCCTTAAATGCATGTTTTAAACATGAACCGGTAAAACGATTTCATTAATTTTCTGTCCGAAATTATACCACGGGCTCGCGGTGAAGTGAAACGCTTTTTTTGGCCGGACCTGTCCGGGAAAGGACACATTTGAATGAAATATTCTGTCCGAATCAATCTGAAGATCGTACGGTGAAAAAATATTTATGTCGATTTTAGCGACGATCGAGCCGGTTCGAATAATATGGATCCGTTTTAGAGTTGCTTTTAGTGTAGGAGATATAGGAGATGTTCGCCATGTTGGATTCTCATTTTCATGTGATTCAGATATTATAGGGGAAAGAAGATATTTTAGGATTCTAAGTATTTATACAGCTAATAAAGATTAATATCTATAATTTCATAAGCAATTATTGTACTTATGACACTGTATCGTCATTTAATTTGAAAATTGTAACCGTTTTCAGCGTCCTATAACATCTTCAACCAATCAATTAATGACCATATTCACATTTTCCTTGGCTCTTTGTAGTTACTTAAAGATGCACACGATATTACAATATGTAGTAATTAATTTTTACGAATATAATACTAACATACTTTTTTAAGGAAGAGAGTGATTATTTTATAGTAATTATATCCACTGAATGTTAATGAATTATATCTTATGTTAATCTGATAAAAAAAGTAGTATTTTACACCTAATTAAGAGTAAAGTTTTAATGATTGTTGACATACCATAAAATTAATATAATCATCATTAATATTTCATGCTATACAAGCTGCACACGGTTGCCGGCAATAAAAAATCAATAAGAGGTTCTTCGTGAAATATTCTAAACCCTTCTGTGAGGAAAAGTAAAAAACGATAGACCATTTTCGAGCAGTGTCGTTAAAACGTCCCCTTTGGTATTTTATGGTATCCCTTGTTCTTTCGAAATAGTTTTGGTGTTTCTCTGCTGCACTAACATCGAAAAAGCAAAAGCTCACGTCACTCTATTAGCATAACGATGTAGCTTACGATAACGGAAAAAAAAATATGATACAGTGGCTGCGAAAGAGTTTTAACGTTATCGCAATGGTTATCTACGTTTAAAAAAAAAAGTATCTCTCGTTGAGTGAAAAAGATATTAATATTCATTCGAGCGTTATCAAGTCGATTCGATTCTTTCGTCGAGTTAGGTTCTTGTATACTTAAGTACACTTTAAGTAATTATTAACGAGCATGTTAAAACGAGGACCGGCTGACACGCCTATGGTTTTCCATTTCCGACAGGTGTTCGGTTAACGAGCGAAGTTACGTGGAATTGCGAAAAATTTGCCCCATTTACGTAATTTCAGGGTCCGCTGCCAAAAAATGAGACATTTCTTTTGGACATTTCTGACGTCTCGCAAGACGCACAATCACACATAACGAAATAAAATATGGCCAAAAAGTATGATCCAGGTAAGATGTTATTTTTTTTCACCTGTCTTCCCATCTGGCACTCAGTCAGTACCTCCTGCACAAAAATTCTCCTATTTACCACTAATGCATGGATCCATAAACAACGAAACTTTCAAAGAAAACTAATGTTAGATCTACCCATTACTCTATTTACTATTCCATTCGAATAACAATAGAATCTAAATTGAAACAACTTTTATCCTGATTCCATTTGATAAAAAACAACGTAGATTAGTAAACAACGGTAATAATCATCCTTAATACAATATAAGTATACAATTTCCTTAAAAATTAATTTTGTCCGAAAAATAAGCGAATTACTAATTAGTATGTCTAATGTTATTATTCGAACATACTTACTTCCGTCGTCTAGACACGAGATGCACGTCGAAATTTCGCCAGAAATGCACAAAGACCACCTGAAACAACACGAAGCCACCGCGTTCCTGACGTCACTAGATGCACGTCGAACAGACCAATAGCAAGTGGAAAAGTCACCCTGACGCAGACAAGTGGATGACTAGCAGCGACCGACTGGAGTGCAAGGATCCAAAAGTATTAATCAACAACAGTGGGGGGATATAATTTATCTTTCGCAAGAAAAAAGAGCGCGGAGAGCTTTGCCTTGGTTCGCTTTTCGAGGACCCCTGCGCGCCCCCCACGCCCAATTTCTTTTCACCGTTTCGCTGGCCCGCCACGTTGCCTACCACCTCCGACCTGTTCAAGGGTTCGTCCAGCCGTATAAAAGCAGAGGATCTTCTTGGTATATCATCAGTCGCAAAACTACAACGAACCAAGTCCAATAGCACACAGCACCATGAACGCCAAGGTGAGCATCACGTACCATTAGAACTGGCGGAATGGTCCTGAGGTATCAGTCTTTGCTGAGGATCAGGACGGTTCGCCGGTACCATTCTTCATACTGGAGGGTTGAAACCCTCATAAGAACGTGTAAAACGTTGTTGGAAGTTAGTGTTTCAATCAGTATCTCTGTTTTCTGCATGATTGCCAGAGAGCTATCGTTTGTTACCATTTTCGTGACTTTCTAATTTTTGGTTGATGACTCGTATAAGTTTAAATTGTGGAAGAATGGGGGCCATTTCTGAGGAACAATCTGCTATTTTTGTTTAAGTGTTGTCGGTAAATATTGTCAATTCTCATTGAGATGTTAGTGTTTGTACTAAAGTTTATTTTTCATTCATCAGTTTTCGAGTTAACGAATTCACACTTAACGAATTAAATCGGGTTTAAATACATTGCCTACGAGAACAACGTGTGACATACCGTTCGCACAACCTACTGAACCTGTCCCATTAAGTTCTTTTTACCGACCTAAAAGGATTCACTTTCGCGTGAAAATACTATTACGGTAGTCTGAGAAAATGGTAACCTCGTATCACCTGAGCAACACAGAATGGAATTCCAGCCAAGCCGTTCCACGCTGTTCGAAAGGAATAACACGGTCGTAAAGATGAAATCACTTTCGATTCATTATCGACTACACCGTTCCATCCTGAAACTGGGTCATAAAATTAACAAAATCGTCACTATTATTAACTAATCGTCGTATAGAACATATAACCAATGTACATAAACATATTTTTTATTGCTCTTGTCAATAGAAGTGTATTGAAATCTTTCATCGAATCGTTCTCCAGAGGATTTCATTAGCCCACGGAAGTAACATTGAACGAAAATACTTGTGTAATTTCAGCTTTTCATCGTTCTTGCCTTCGTGGCAGTGGCCTATGCCGAAACCAAGACCGAAGAGCAGCCAGCCGAAACGAAGAAGGACAAACGAGGACTGTACGGACTGGGATACGGATATGATTCTGGTATAGGACTGAACGGATACAATTCCCTGCCCTACCACGGTGTCTCGACAGTGATCACCAAGGAAGTAGCTGTCCCGGTACCGCATCCGGTCGCAGTTCCCGTCGAGAAACACATCCCAGTCCCGGTTAAGGTAAGCATTCGCTTTTCGTTGATTGAAAAAAAAAAATGAAAACCGATACACGGTGAACAACGATTTCCGTCGCGTTGCAAACGATGTCACGGAGGTGTGAAGTCGGTAGTGACCTAATCCTTCGATCGCCCTTTCGAGCAATTCCACGGCGGAACGATTTGCATACGTAACGAAATGTGATGTGCGAGAGTGTCGAGTCGAAGGCGACGTGGAATCACGCTCTGTTTATCTCGGGAATATCGTCTCGCGCGGTTTCTATGCCGGAGCCTTCATCATCGATCGTTAATTATCATTTCAATGTAAACGAGTGATTTCGTAAGATATCGCGGTGTTGCAGGTTGCATTTTCCAGTAGAATTTAAAGTTATACCACGTTTTGTAATCTAGCCACGTATTACTTTATATGATCCACTGTTCTACGATTTTTCGTTCACAAGCAATATCGGGGAAAAGGTTTCTATAACTGTGAATATCAAAGTTTAAATGTTTTTCGTTGTGAAACAAACATTTGATGGAACAAGGCTTCCTTAGGTATCACAATTTCTGTCAATCTTCAATACACCATGACTAAAATGCTTCACCTAGAGCAGGGTTTCTCAATATTTTTCGGATTATACTCCACCTCAACGCCTCAAAGATCTCGATGTCCCCCTAGTAGAGTAGGAAACCGAGTTCTGATAAAGTTTAATATTAATAACCGACGATCAGATGACGAATGGCAATGATTTGCTAATTGGCCCTCAAAATATTCAAATTGCCCCTCGGTAGTGCGTACGCCTTACGTTGGGAAACACTGACCTAGAGACCCATCAAATAGTCTACTCTTTCATGAATTACTTGTATCAAAACAATCCTTCAAAACTTTTCACAAGCGTACCAGATATATTTAACCCTTACACGTTTACATTGGCCTCTACGAGCCCTGTCAAATCTAATCCATCTTATCGATCATTACCAACGATCTTGTTTTTAAAGTTTTCCACGCCTAATACTGCTTATACTAATCTTACACAAGTAATAAAGCCTATAAAATAAACAAAGAGAATGAATAGTAAAGTAGTAAGCGATAGTAGTAGTTCCATAAACAGTAGAGTATTCCGCACATACGCGACCTATTCGTCAAAAGTATGTCGCACCGAAAGGGTTAATGACGAACTTAAAAGAAGAAATTCAGAGAATTATCCCCTTCGAATCCAGACTTCACAAAATCAAAAATGTATAGCATTCTAAAAGCACTAAAGTATTTTAATTCCAACATCTTCGGAAAGTATTAACCTAGCCATCAGAATAAACCAGTACCCCGGCTCTGAACAGTTCAGCTACCATCATCGAATGTTTCTACAGAGTAAAAGCACTGATCTAACGATTTTCTCCGTGTTCTCCAGGTACCATACGCAGTCCCGGTCGACCGTCCTTACGCCGTCCACGTTCCCAAGCCCTACCCAGTGGAAGTGACCAGGCACGTTGCAGTCCCCGTCGACAGGCCAGTCCCCTACCCAGTCCAGGTGCCAGTGAAGGTTCCGGTGCCAGCCCCGTACGCCGTCAAGGTACCCCACCCCGTTCCCGTTCCGTACGTGAAGCACGTTCCGTACCCAGTCGCGCAGCCTGTCTTGGTTGAGAAACAATACAACGGCTGGGCGTCCGGCTACAACGCATGGTAAAATAACAACTTCATCGTGGATTACCCGGGAGGGGGGGGAAGACCAGTCACGAAGATCGTAACCGCGCAACGAATCGACGTCGTCGTCAAGACACACCAGGTCCACTGACAGAGAAAGTTTCTCGCGACGGATTCTCCACCTCGAGAACGACCATCGAGAGGGACTATTCCAACGACCACACCCACGAAGGCAACCGCTGGACATCGCCGAAACCTTCACTCGTACCTTTCTTCGTCTCTTCTTACCTCATTCTGGACAGTCACTCGAAAGATCGACAACGTTAAGACTGGCCTTCCCCTGCGAGACTAGGGCGAAAAGATGCCCCGGGTCTCGGTGTCCTAAAACCACAAGTCAAATCGACGGACTTGCAATCGAGAGCTGAACGGAATTGGATCGAGCGTTTCGCTACTGTGACATTAGACATAATTTTTTTGTACCGATTGTTTATGTATATTTTTTCTTTCTTTATTTTCTACGCAACTCGACGCGCGTCTTGCATCATTGAAATAAAGATACCATTTTTTTTTTCGTACGAAAGAAACCGGTCTTGTATCGCCTTTTATTCGCCTTGGTACCGATTTACGACACGGCCGAAAATTGGAGCAACGTTGCGAAAACGGAGGTAACCTTCGTATCCTTGAAATCCTCACGGCGTTCACACTCCCTTGTTCGACTCGAGTTCGTTTGAGTTTGGAGTCAGAGTCTGCGGAACCTGTCGCGGAAGAATTTGTGGGAAATATGGAGAGATTTAATGGAATCGTGTGGATGTGGTTCGTGCAACAACTTATATAAATATTTGAAGCTCTAAAATGATTCATAAAGAAAGGAACTCCAATGAACAGATTGTGGATCCTACAGGCATTTATGACATGTGGAATGCAATGGTACAACAACGTATAAAATTACATAAATATCTGAAGCCTATGTATTAACGTATTTCGACCACAGCTTTCTTGATCGCAAAATACAACCGATTTACTTTTGCTCTTGCTGTCCAACGTAACTGTCGAAGCGCAAAAGTCATTAACTCGATGGATTCGTCACAGATCACGCACGTAAATAAATTACAAACGAACTGGGAGAAAATAAATAATCGATTGCGTTAGCATCCTGGCGATTCACTGTCAAATTACATCACCTTTATGTAAGTGACAGAACGAAATCTAATTTACGACAAACATAGATGTCGATCTCCAATATTCGTTTTGTAATTTCATAGACCAACTTTACCCAGAGATCTTTCTTTAACAACGATGAACACATCGACTGTCACGTAAATATTCGCGTAAATTCAACCAGGAGGAAGATCGTCTTTTAACAAATTGGAGATTCTATCGTACAATATTTATTGCAGACAGTTCTGTCACCATCCAACATGATGATCAGCACGATAAAGATCTTTCTATCGAGGTACCATGGTAATGAAGGTTAAAATCCACTCTCTTGTAACGAGGAACAGGAACTGAATTCTAATTCCTTAACCATTTACTCGTTATAGATACTTGCCTATAATGCCACCCATTCGAGTCCTCTTTCCTCTTTCGCCATAGCTGGAACGTTCCCCCGGAGTGGGAACGTTCACCGCTGTTTTCCTGGTCGGATCAAAAATAGCCCGGGTATCAAATATAGATCACGCAGAGACATTGAACCAGCCGCGTGACGCATCAAAACCGTGGCAGAACAGCTCACTTTCCATTTCATCGGACCATGAAAGATCGCTCGACACAGCGACATCAACCTTTCCGCTGGGATGCTGACCGTCCTTAAGCCGCGTTCACACACATGGAACACTTGAACCGTTAAGAGGGATCGTAAAACACCACAGACTATCCATCTAGTAATTTTTATTACAAAAACAAATACGAAAAACTAAACATAATCAACGAAAACGAATTACAAACAGAAACTTAACGAAACAGACCTAACGCTACAGTGTACAATCGGCGGAAGCGATGTCAAGGATTGAGTTTTTTATGTCCTTTCCGAGACTCCACGTAGAATGATTCTTAAAGCTCTTACCAACAAAAATCAAAGGGTGATACGTCGAACTTGATAATTGGACCAAGGCTTGACATACTGACTACCACGTACGAGAACCCGTGTAACAATAACTTACCCTATTAGCCTGTTAAATTTCAAAAGCTTATTCAAAATTCAAAACTTCTTCAAAAATCCTGACCTCGTCCATTTGCAATCAGTCCCAAACATTCTCAAGTGGCACAAAAGATAATACAGTAGGTACTCCCCAGATTAACGAATCTACCCCAAGTCTCAGTACCATCGAACTCACCCTTCTTACTAACACAAAATAATACTTCTCATCCCAATTCGCGCCTGCACCGAGCCAGAAAACATCCCACTCCAAAGGTACCATTTTCGGAGCCTCCATGCTCCACAAAATGACATCTTCACTCCCTCCATTATCTTCGCTAAATCATTCCCATAAGTGCAGCCCAATGTCACCTTATCCATTCCACCGACTATACAGTCTGTACTACTAACTGTATATAGTACAGACATTCAGTGGTGCGGGCTGTAGTCTGGCTGCGAAGGCTGGAAGTGTCCGTGTCCACCGGCCTGCTGATCGTATCCTTCGTGTCCCTGCTCGTTCACCGTGTAAGAGCCGTAGCTCTCAGACTCGTGTCCCACGTGGTCATCGCTTGAGTCGTAGCCGCCGCCGCCGACTCCACCCTCGGACTCGTGGTGGGCCTGATATGGTATCGGGTGCGGGACCGGGTAGTAGATCGACTTGCTGATCGCTACCGGCTGGGGAACAGGAATCGGCTGCGGGATCGGCACTGGCCTCGGCACCAGCACCGCGATCTGCTGGGGAAGTGGTATCGGGACCGGCTTGGACACTTCGACCGGCACCGTTTCCTGGACTTTCACTAGCTTCGGGTACGGAACCGCGATCGGATGGTTCACCGGCACCGGGACGGGTATGTGATGGGGCACCTAAGAGAAAGGAATTCTCGATTAACCGGGCGATCTAGATTCTCGGTTTTTCGTGGCCTGCGGAGAAACGGCTTGTTCAGCGGTCTAGGGAGAAGACAGGGTGGAGCTGGTTGATTACGGTTTCGCGTGTCTTATGGAGTCCGAAGCGACTGCGGTTTGGAGAGACTCTGAGGTTCGTGTCTATGATGCCGTCCAACTCGATCCTTTGGGGCTTGATGTGGATGGAACCTCGGATGGACGTGAAACTTGAGATTCGTCTTTTGTGGAGGGAACGTGGATTGGGAGCTACAGGGTGGTCCGTTTAGACTGCGGAACTGTTTTATGATATCGAAGAATGTTTGAGGGAAATGTGGGACCGATTAGGAAGAAGGTATTTAAAGGGTTTTTAGTAGCGCCGGATCAAGAGGGTCTAGGGGGCTGCACCCCCGGGCCCCATACGCAGGGGGCCATAATCTAAGCATTCCATTTATGTAAAAAAATAATTGAATGAAATTTTGTTTACTGTTTCCCTTTGGAAATAATTAAAAATTGCACTAAATGTAGGAATAACCCGGACCATAGTTATTAAAATATAACGAAGCATTATTCGTTATAATCGATCATCCATTAAGATTAATTTTAATTGGAATAAAAATTCAATACTTAAGATTTAGGTACTTAAATGTGGTTTCTGGTGAGGATATTTTATATGTAGCATTCTAATCTGGCCGAATTACCAGATCCTCGACTTTTGAATAGTCATAAGAGTTATCACTTTTTGCTAGGAAAAATACTAATATCGTAATCATAGAAGAGGGTGGGTGTGTGGTATAAGGTGAATGAAAAGTAAGTAAAAATAACTGTTCAGCGTGAAGGAAACATCCTTCTTAACGTACCTTGACAGGATACGGCACTGGTACCTTGACGACCGCAGTCTTCGTGACCTTAATGATTTTCGTCGGTATCTCCTTCAGGTGAACCGATTGCGAAATGAGTTTCGGCTCACTGCCGAGACCATGGCCCTCCAGCCCGGAGTAATAGGAGGCACTCGCGGCGGCCACGGCCACACCAAGTAAAAACTACAAAGTTACAATCACGATTGAAGGCGACTGGGACCGCGAACAAAATTACAGGGCAAGAAAACACCTCGACTTGGATCACGCGAATCTTCCCCCAAAAAAATGTCGAAACGCCTTTCCAAGAAAGACGGAATTAAGCCCTGATACTTTCATCTGGGGACCTTAAGTACATAATTCAAAAGTAGCTAACTCAGCGATAAGATGGTGAGATCAACTTTCTCCCCGAATATTTTTGCCACAAGGTAGAGTGATAGTAGATCCATAACTTATGGGTTCAACAATGTACAAGCCCGATCGAAATACTTTCCCCAAAGAAAGCAAACTCATTTTTCGTCTCTCTATATCCGTCACTTTCAAAGCTCACGTTTGTTACCCAAAACCTGTGCAATCCCTTATTTCTTGGACGTTCCCGTTCACTGAAGTTACACCTCCACAAAATTATAGAGAAAATGAAAAGGAAAGGTCTCTTTGACCTTCTTTCATTTATCACACTCTCTTCCGGGTTTCTCCGCGGATGATCCAAGTAGCCTTGATTCGAGGGTTCTCTTTTTTAGCGTGCGGTGACTGATTGGCAACTTACAAATCGTAACATCGTCATTCGGTTTCCAGGGTAGAAGCAGATAGGACGCTTCTGATGGGACGAATCACACTGACAATTGCACTACCGGCTGTAGCTTATATACGAGGACCTTCACCGTCGCCGATTCACGAAGAAAGCACTCTCTTTCCGACTGGCTTGCGTTCTCCAATCTTGTCTCCGCTTCTCCACTTTTTTTCTTCCTTGCTCTTCTCGCAGGCGGCCCGGAGTTCGATGACCGCACATACGCCCGCTCTTCGTCCTCCACATACGATTTCAAGTGCGATCGAGATCGATCCTCTTACCAGCCGCATCCTCGTGCACCTGGACCTCTGAGCGGAATTAATGTTCGTTTCGTAACTGACCTCGCTACAACCACGTCAACATCGAGTGCATCTTCGTGGATTTATTAAGTGCTCCAGATAGTGGTAAATTTGTTTCTATATTAATTGTATTAACTAAAGAAATATTAACGTTGTTATTAGTGAAAATGTTCGGAACAGTTACGATTGATCTTAAATGGTCTTGATCTTATTTTGAAGTTACAAGTTTTCCAGTAGCCTTCTGATTTCTTGATGAATTTCTTCTGAATTTCTTGATTTCTAACCTGTTAACTGTTTTTGATAAGTCTACTCGTCATAAAGAAATGACAATTTTTGTGTTCTTCACGAATCTTACGAAAAAAATCGCCATTTCTTTACGACGGTTAAAGGTCTGTCGATTAATTATATTGAAATGTTCGTTCCTAATATTTTTAAACAATATATAATATATACTAATTTATTAATTGATATTAAATATTGATATTGTACTGATAAAATCTATGTATTCATTTAGATACTTTGATACTACTGCTTTATATTAACAGTTGATTTCTATCAATATAATTAGTAACTTTTGCTTTAAATTTTCTATATTTCTATTTATTATGCATATAAAATGAAAAATAAGTATATGATAAAAGTGTATAATAAATGGAGGAATGGATTAATTAGCCCAGAATTGACATAGAAACCTGATCAGGCCTCATTAAAATTCTATTTTAATCTATTCTCGACATTTACAAATATCTAGATAATGACTGTATGCACCTTAACAGTATCACGAATAAATTCGTAAATTATACCAGAACAAGAGAACAGTTAACAATATGAAAGTGCCCAATCAGAATCATGAATGAATCGATGCGCGTGCGTGTAAATGGATAGTTGTAATTATGCCGTCAAGATGCACCGTGCTATAACGGCGCATCGTGTGCGTAGAAATCGTAATTTCCACTCTGAATAATTGCCTGTCCGCGTTCCGAACACGTAAACTGTACACATTCCGGCTACCGTAAACGTCGCGAGCGAAATGTACGATGCGTTGCGTAACAAGACGATCATCTTGTATCGCGATGATGACAGTCCATTGTGACGGCTGTGATTTCGCGCGGGAAGCAGAAGGCAGAGTGGACTAGTCATGCAAGGATTCAATTGCTGGCGCTTAAGTGAATCCCTGTTGCTATAATTTCCCGAGGGTAACACATCATCTCGCGCCTGGAAGATCGTACTTTCACCGATAATCACGTTGTTTCTGTCCGGATCGTTACGAGTTGGCTTAATATATTCGAAGTCTTGAGAGTGTACCATCACTAGGATTCACGATGATGTATGTTCTTGAAACTTTAAGTATCTCTACATTATCATAGTATTACGTAGAGTATTATAAACTTGAACTTGAATGCTTGGCATTACATAGAAGGACAATACTTGACTATATCTATAGATCGATAAAACCTAGAAATTTTGTGAAGATCAAATGGGCACATTTACTTTTTTAGTATGGCTAAAAGAATTGGAGTGACCCCCAAAATTAATTATTGACTCAAAACCGTCATCATTTTTTCGAGAAAAGATTCGCCAGAGATGGTGTAAACGTGTAAATTCTTGTTAATTCTGTATTTGTAAATAAACAACAGATCTGTGAAAAGAAGACCACGAATTAATTTGTACACCTAATACAATAAAAAAAGATAGATAACTTACGAAATGAATAAAAATAAGGTCCTAGTAAAGAATACAATTACATAGTGATATTTTCTAAGGTAAACCAGTACGTAACGAAAATATATTGCTACTAGTGACAAAGAATATTTAATAGACCAATGTTAATTCTTAATGATTTCATTCAACGAAATGTATCGCTAATATTCCACCTACAGCGGAGTAATAACACGTGAAACACTTTCACATGTTATCTCGCCAGAGTTCTCGTTACCTAGGTGCACGGCTGCCGCCGATCTTGCACTTCCTCTACCGATTTTCAGCGCCCGTGGAGCCCGCTGTAAGGAAGTGGCGCTTCCTACGCGACTTCCTGTTATAAAAATGGAGAGAGCAATCGGCGTTCTGAAATGCGAGCCGGCCGAGACGATTCATGGCCGAGGGAGAGAACGGTGAAAGGATTACCTACAGCTGGGTGACTGAAAGAACGTTCGAGGTAAGAGGACTAATCTGGATCATCTGGTTCTTTCTACGGTCGAACTGCTACACGCTAGTTTCGCGTACTTCTGTGTGATCGAACGACACGTTGTCGTCTGTGAGAGACGGTACTCATCTACTTTTTATTATTTTCACAGGTGATCTATCTACTGAAGCTAAATTTTCGATGAATAGCGACAAGATTATAATAGGAAATGAAAAATACAATTTTAGTCAATATTAGGTATAGCAGTAAGTAATTCAATACTTTTTAATTATGAAGCGATATACACTGCTAAAAAATAATTAGAGGATCGCTACTATGATCGGTCCTGTTCCGTCAACCAAGCGAAATAAATAAAACGACAAAATAAAATGACGGAATTCAGATTTGTTATTTTACAATTACTGAATTCCTAAAAGTGTTTCCGTCGATATTCATGACTACCTTTAATTTATCATATATTTTATATTGCACTAGATTATGCTAAACTGTAATAATACAGTTTAATAAGTATATAAATAGTATAAATATTAATATATTATGCAATTTAATTTATTATACATGCAACGCTGGCAGTTCTACTGTTAATTATTTCGAGCAGGATATGTTAAGTGACAAATGTCTTCTCGACCTCTCGCAGACAAGTAAAAGTAATCTAGACTACGAGAAAGTTATTATGAATATTAATGAAATGGTATAGAGTCCTGGATTTCAGTAAATCGAATCCTGATTTCATTAAGAAACAGTGGCTTACTTACAAAGGAACACTAATATTTACAGCAATGTTATATATAAAAAAAAATTGGTCAACCTTATAGGGTTCAGCATTCGAGGAATTATACCCAAAATTCGTTCACCCTCGCTTCTAATATTAAACATCGCTCTATAGAGTTAAACAAACGATATTATTCTCACGTTCCAACAAGATCGACTCCAGAGGGTCATAAGCGATTCTCCACAGCGTGGATGTGCCGTTTAAGCAAGCGGCTAATGGAGCTTTCGTCGTTCGAACCACAAGCAAAATTACTTATCGCGTTTTAATCGACCACGTAGAGGCGGTCCTCTTGTGAGGGTGCTAAAAACTGGTTCCGCATAACAGCAAAAGTAAAATCATTATTCGCCGGACCCTCTTTCTCCTCTCACTTTCGATGAAAGCTAGTAATTCCACACCAAAACGTACACCGATTGATCTCTCGTGCAGAACGGTTACAAGATTACTACGGGACCACTTCCGCGGGATCGAGTCGGTCCCTGATATCATTTCTAGATCCAACTGATTCACTTTGGGAAAACATACCAATAATCGTCTTGGATTGAGATTCCTTCGACCCTTCGTCCACGACAGGAAAAGGAACGTTAAGCGTTAAAATGGAAGAATAAATCATTCAAGGTTCGCTTCGTATGGACACGCGTTCTTTCGATCCATTTAATGATGACTCGCCTTTCTTGCTAACAAAGCACTGATAAGCATCTGTAGTAAAAGTGGTTTGTTCCGATTTTCTTCATTTCACGGGAGAAAGGCAGAAAGAAACAAAAGGTACAAATCGAAGGAGAGCGCCGTGAGAGGAAAGGCCCGGGGAGTTTAACAAACCTGGGAGGTCATTAATCTGCATCTAATCACGCTCGAAACCGTCAAGAAATACAATGCTGCTGTCTGTCCAGTCGTTCGTCAATGATTTTTTCCCGTTAGCCAATTATTCTTGAAAATTTCTATCTACAACCCCATTAACTTATTATTCACGTTTCCTTCGTACTGGACAGAATACAATTTTTAGCATAAACGTGACTGTAAGGTAATAAACTTTGATTCTGAAGTATTTATTAATCACTGTTTTGTGAGCACAAGGTGAAAAATAGGTGTATTTTATGATCTGTTTGGTGTGAGTCCAATCTGGTCAAGTAAGCTACGTTCTAACGACTCTATTAATCACTGACACGTTCCTCGTGAAGAAGATGAACCGCTAGCTCGGTTCAAGTATCGTGACAGCAGACCAGGCGGAATTGAACTTTTACAAATAGAAAGGACAGCTCCTTTCAATAAGAAGGAATAGCTTGAAGTGGGTCACCGCTTTAATACTGAAAGCGTAGAAGATGCAATATCGTGTCTCAGCCAACGGCAACGAAAGTTTTTTCTGATACCTTTATCCGAATAAATCGAAAAAGAAGAATATTCTGCAAGAGTTTGTCTTGATATATTTATATATTTATAAGCTAACACATACTCTAAAAATTCATTTACCTGCATTTGAATCTGAACGGAAGATAAATATAAAGAGTTTAATTCTTCATACAAATTAATAAGAACACCCTGCATATATGTATTCTTCAATATTTGTACTCGAAATTGCTCAAAATGTCTGAATCAATCCAGTGAAATGCATAGCAATTCGCACGAGAGGCAATAAAGATAATTAAGAACGTCGGACCTTTCCTTCCGCAACTCGCCGGTGAAGCGGTTCTTATGATCCTTGCACACAAATGGAATAATATAATACGCTCTCGTTTAATGATACCGCATGTTCGACCACATTGCGGGCGTATCCAATGCTCACCCGGCGATTTTGCGTTACATTCACTCTCACCGAGAACTAGGTTTTTCTCGTGTAATGATAAACGAGTGCACCGGGCCGTATATTACTTTAACGCTTCAATTGTTGAATGGCTCTTAACCACCGACTAGCATGATTAATTACAGGCAATATTAGAAGAAAAGGAATAAAGACGAGACTCTAGGAGACAATGGAACACGGTAAATTATTTTTGTATATAATATAAACATTTTTACGGTCGCTGTTACATATACAGTGAGTCGCGGAAGCATTCGTACCCTCGAAATTCTTGAATTCGAATG